AAAGTTCCTTTTCTCACAAGGTATCCCGGACCTGTATCAAAAAAAATTAAGATGACAGAGTAGTAAATAATTTCGTACGGAAGATCTAGAACATCAGCACTGGGTTAATGATCAATGCCTACTCCAATGATCAAGAAATGAAGGACATAGATAACCCAATCACATCCACTCAGCAATATCTCGGCAAATTGAATATTTGATTTATTTAAACTAACAACTAAACACTGCTCTATGTAAGCTCCAGTTCAGACAATGTTGATTTGGAAGGTCATCTAGAACCCAAACAGAGTAATGTGTGGTAATCAAGTGCCACTCAAACATCAACTTTCGATATTTCATGGTTCATTTAATATCTGACCAGCCATATAGAACTTTACCCCGTAGTGCCAAGATAGGATCATGGTCCACATCTCCATCTCCATCAGAACTATCATTAGTGTCATATTCGCTAGAGGTGTTGTTATCACCACTATAGCCGTCACTCCCACGTGAAGTGCCATCTGAAGCATCATCTGAGGTGGTCCGGTGATCACTCTCATCACTGCTGATGAGGATGGTTTCCATTGCCATTCAAACCTGTTGCATGCATTGCAATGACCAAATGTTAGTTATTGATATATGAAATCAGTCTTCCATTAGGAGTTGTTAGCACCATGTACAATGTGAATAATCTTTTCGCATACTTATTGCTAAGTACATAGTTCATGTATAAACATCTACACGAAAAAGCTAGTCGACAACTATTCGCACGACTAGTCAAGACTAGTGGTTAGACTCATAATCATTGGGCAGACATAAACAATTAGGATATTTCAAGGTTACAATTTTACTGGCATATTTTTGTGACATTTGCATAAATAGTTGGTAGACAACCAATCAGTAGCGAACATCTGGCATTTTGTCAGATATTGGCACGCCAAATTTTGGCATCAAACCATTCATGCTGATAGATCATGATTGGCTTGCTAGCAATGTTGGCATTGCCAAATATTGGCAAATTTATGTGAGCTGGACAAGAAAACTTGGTAACCAACCAATTAGTAGCCATGTAAAAATGAACCATGATTGACTGCTCTCATCGAGCAATACGTGAAACTATAACTGATCTGCCTTTGATCACTGCAAATTTCCTGATGGGCTGTTGTGTGGTACCATCAGGTAATAAATATAAAGTCTTTAAATTGTCCCAACAAAACAAATAATGCATTTGCTGTTGTACATAACATTTTTAGAGGTAGATGTGGAGGTTAATTTTCCAATTTCTAGTGAGAATAAGGACATGATAGAATCTCTCAAGCAAGATGACAGCATAGTGAAGGCTATGAGAACGAGCAAGGTATGCTGACCAATAGTCACCCTTTTGTATACTTGCTATTTATTTACTCACTACTACCAATACCAACAAGTAAAATCATGATTATGAAGTATAATGGCAGAAAATCCAACAGTGAGGAATTTGTTGCAATGTGAACTACTAGCTCACAACAAATTTTCATTGACCCCAACAAGCCCATACCATATCTTGGAGATAGGCTGACATAATTCAAGTAAGCAGTAACAACAATCAGCAAAAATATGCACCAACCAAAAGTATTACATGTGTGCACATATCATCAAAAACATGCACCAATCAAGAGCAGTCTATACTTGACAAATCCTTCAAAATATGCACTAATCATCATACTACCATCGAGTAATACATGAAACTATAACTGATCCTCATTCCATCATTACAAATTTCCTCATGGACTGCTTCTGTGCTCGCCTTTTTAGTTTTTAATAACTAAGCATCAACAAATACATATACACAGTCTTCAAACTATCCCAACAAACCAAAACATGTGTATGCTCCCGTGAATATACTTTTTCTATATCTAGCAGTGGGGGGTCATTTTCCAGGGGGAAAAAGTACTTGATAGCATATGTCAAGCAAGATGATAGCATAGTGAAGGCTATGTCGACGAGCAAGGTATGCTGGCCAACACCCACCTTTTTATTTTACTTGCACAAAAGTGTTTACCCATTACTACCCATATGAACAAGTAAAACCATGATTACGCAGTACATTGTCAGATTTTCTTGTTGTTTACGCAATATGACCTACTAGTCAAAAGTAAATCTGCGAATACCCGAAACATGCACACAAGCAAGTGTCAGATTTTAACTTGGGCGGTGCTGCTAGATCGCAAAATTAAGGTCAGATCGACATTCGAAGGGCAGGGAAGATCAATCTTACCTGCGAAGTGGTACCAGATGGGGCTGGAGTAGATGTGTTCGAAGCTGGCACCACCGGAGCTTCGGGCGGCGCGGCCAGGATTGGGGAGAAGAGGTGCCGTTGTCGGACCTTGCCATCGACGAAGCAGTGGAGAATCATGGCCGGAGCAGGGGGAGTGGGTGGCCTCGCGGATCCGGCCGATTTGATGACGACGGGGGCGGCCGAGGTGACGGCTTGGCAAACCCTAGCCGTCGCCCTCCGCGTCGCCTCTCTGTCTCTGCAAAGAACAAAGTGTGGTGGGATTGGGAATGGGGGTGGGGTTGGGGTTGGGGCCATCGCTCGCTTTTCTCTCTGCCTCCCACTTGTGCAGGCCCACAAAAGGAACAAAGTGTTGGGCCGGATCAGATGCAGATTTGGCAGCTTTACCAATTCTGGCCAAACATAAAAGATCAGCATGACAACAGGTGTTCTTTTGAAGAAACCCTAAAAAACACTGTTGTTCATATTGCATGTGGATGAGTCTTTCAGTACACCAATTGATCTTGAATAATTTTAAGCACTCCACATTATATATATATACATACATATATATATATATATATGAAAATAATGGTTAACCAATAAAATGGTAAACTATTAGATGCAAGGTTACAAATATTTGAAAAAATCAATAATTGAATTGTATGCATTTTATGATTAAATTTAATAAATATAACATTTTTTGCAAAAACTATGATAATTAAAATATTCATTGGTATTTAAAAAAACCCACAAATGACTACTTATGCCAACCAGAACTTCTTCAGGGTTTCGGTTATTCATCTATTCTTTGGCATGCTGGTTCTCATAATGCCTTCTTTGGACCTTCTCTTTGTCCAACAAATTCCTGAGATATTGGGCTAGCGCCTTGTGTTTCGCCCTCACACCATGCTTCATTTGGTATCCTTTGGCAACTCCTTCGGCGTGCTCAAGAATACTAACGAAAGCCGGGTCCAGATATTTGCCACAGAACATGCAACGATACGCCATACGCTTAAGCACGTTGCACTGTCCATTCTGCAATTCTTCAAGGGTTTTCTGAGTGTGTGCATCCATCTCTCCTTAGGAAATGTTCGCATAATCATGAGAATAAGGCTGCAAGTTTAAATTATGTATGATATAAGCTGCACCATTGTTTACAGTACCGAATATTCCCTAAGTTCCATATTGTAGTGCCTTTAAATTATTTTTAAAGTAAATATTTAGTAACTTTGAAAATTTAAGGAGAAAAAAGCAATATCAAATCCATATGAAAGCATAAATCATATGATGTACTTTTAAAAAAATTGTCAATAAACATGCACAACCTTTATGATGTCTGACTTTTAGCATAAAACCAAAACGCACTCAATTGTGGAGTGGATGAACCATTATTTTCTCAAAGATTGATTGAATAAATAATGATCATTATGTACTGATGATCAACATTATATTTAGAGCTAGATTCCATTATGCCAATTCAACAATGTATTGATAGTTTAATGATTAACCTCTAACCTTAAACTTGAAGACAGATCTAGGGTTAAAAAATTAAAATTACCATAACGGAATTCCAGTCCATGCCGTGCATGTGCTGCTGCTTGTGATCGACGACGGAGTACTGCACCTCGTTTACACGATGCTTCTCTGGGTCGGACACCAATTAGTCCAAAGCTTTCTTGTGGGGATCCTGATCCATGCGATGGACGACGACGTTGGTGGTTAGCCCCGCAAGTCCACGATCTGTCACGACGGCATCCATGATAGGCCCCCACGTCCATGGCCACGATCTGTCACGACGGCCAATCGACCTCCACAAGTGGATTTCATATTCAGCGGCAGGGAGGCGGGCATGCGAGCGGCGGTGATGGTTTTAGAGCGTACCCTAGGGGGAGAGATGCGGGGAGTAATTGGTAGTTACCTACTATAGCGGAAATACTTATGAGAAAAATTGATTGCTCGGCGTTGGGCACCTTCAATGCGACGGCATTATTTAGGCGCTTAATAGGATCCTGGAAAAAAATCACAAGCGTAGGCGCTTGGGGCAGGAGCTAGGAACTGGATTTTGTACATCTACGTGATGCAATCCAAAGATGGTGTCCGGGGTGGATGGGTTGGGGATTGAAAATTGTGTACATAAACCCTAATGCTCAAGACTTGTGAAAACATTAGATCAAATTGTCATCAAGTGATCTAGTATTACTTGGATCTAGACTTTGTGATCATCATGTAGCCACGCCACAAACACGATGGTTCTAGTATTACTTGGATCAACACCTTAGGCAGCAAACTAGTGGATTTCCTTTTTGAGTCACCATCTTCCTTCTTGAAAACCACATGTACACACTCATCATGTATACCATAACACATCAGAATCTGTTAACGAGCGCTCACAAGCTTAACTAGCTTCAAACGAACCTAACCAATCAGCGTTTTATGCTACTTAATCTAAATGAGCCAATGATTAATGAGCATGAGTTTAACAAGTAGAGATGCCAAACCACACACCAGTTAACATAGTTCTACCTTATTTCAACGCTTCCATATATACAAAAGCAAGCACCACTTAGTAGTACTGGTGCACATAGTTCGACCATAAACGTTCACCAACAAAATATATCATAGGGTAGTACTTAGCATAGTTAAAACCAAAAGATCATCAATTCACCCTGAAAGCATAGACATTCTTGATGCTGTCTTGGGATGTTCCTACTGCATTGTTGATGGTACTTGATAGGTCGCCTTTAGTCACCTTGCTGCAGTAAGGTCATCCGTAGCCGTTTCCGAATCTAGGCCTCACAGCTTTCTCGAGCTCACCACTGTCCAGCTGCCTCACATTCTGCCTCCTAAAGATCCTCTGGGTTTCTGGGTCGCTGTCAACGTCGTCACTTAGGACCTACATGTAGTACAAAATGTTGCGTAAGTATATTTAATATGATAATTCAGCAGGCACATAGTCTATGAAACATAATGTAATTGATGACAGCGTAAAATATCTTCAAATGACGTTGAAAAAATAAATGCATAACTTATTAGTTGCTACATAAGCAACTAAATGGGATAGTACCATATAGTAAAAAAATGAAGGATCAACCATACATGTCGAAGAGAGCACTAGCATTGCCACATTTTGCCACACATTTTTCCCAAGCTTGCCTAAGGTTAGTTCATCAAAATGACAACCACACGTTGGCAAGCCTAAGGGAACCTTGCCACACTTTTTGTGTGTATGCCACGTGGGACCCAAGTGTGGCTTGCCTAAGGAGTGGCTGGAACCAAACACTCACTTAAGTTGGTCAAACTTGCCTAACCTTAGGTATGGCAATCTTTGGCAAAGTTAGTCACAAACCAAACAACCCTTTAGTGCAACAAAATTCACTTGTTACGTAAAAATTCATGAACTGATGATGTAACATGGCAGAGCAGTATACAGATGTACTAACGCAAAAAAAAAGACTTATAACTAACATGCAAGACTAGATAAAATATCTCGTTAGCTGTATCTATTTAGGGTTAGAATTTTGTGTGCTTATGATGATGGATATTGAAAGTCCCCATGTTATCGTCGCGGAAGTTTCCCCTGTTGATCGATACCCCACCCATCAATGTTCCTTAACCATTCAACGTTCTAGGTAAAGTAGTTATTATGAATTCTGACAATAAGTGATCCCAAATGTTGTACTTACAAAAAAGGGTTTTTATCATTTATGCCACCAGTTGTGTCCCACAACTAAGTATCACCGCTAGGAATTTCTACTGCTAAAAAAAGCCATCGCTTCGTTAGACACATGCTCAAAAATGCCACTGCACATCATTATTGTGATATCAAATCTATCTTGACATGCTATAATGGCATCAATATCTATGGACCAACATGCCATCTCTCCCTCTATATCACTACAATAAAGTGTGGGCCCACTTGATCCCAACAACGTTCTTATTTTCCTGTAAAATTATTCGCTTACTTACTCCTCACAAGTGGGGCCACACTTATCATTGTGAGATGGAGAGAACTAAAATGTGGGCCTGGGCTTTTTTTTCATATTGGATGGTCAACAAGTTTTTCATGAAAATAACAATGTCTAATGGCATTATTGAGCAAACATCTAACGGAATGATGGCATTTTTGATACATCTAATGGCATTTTTGAGTAAGCATCTCATGAATCGATGGCATTTTTGAGCGGTTGTAACTTCTGGAAAAACTGAGTAGTGGGATACAACTGTTGGCATAAATGATAAAAACCCTACAAAAGAACTAATTAAAACAACTCAAGTAAAACATTGATGATATCCAATTTCTTTCTAAAATAGCCATTGCTCAAATAATCAATGTTTAACATCATTGCCACAGCCACTTATGGAACATTTAAACCAAAGATCGATCAAGTGCAACCAAACATGTACTCAACATTTTAATACCTTATTTGCCTTGTACCGACCAGAGAAAACCTAGGATATTAAAAAATAAATAAATAAATAAATAAATAAATAAAAGGGATAGATGACTAACCTCTTCTTCCTTCTCGTCGGCGACGACCACAGGTGGGGGCAGGGGAGGCAACAACCGCGGCAGACGAACACTCGGTTGAGGTTGAGAGTCACCACCTGCTCCAGCAGAGAAGTCAGAGGAGCTACCTGTTCCGGATTATTACCAGAATAATTTATATAGGTCAAAAATTGAAATATACATGCCTCAATAAATGTAATCTAGCTACACAACTGCGGATCCATGATTTCATACTTGGGTGTTCAAAAATTTATATTGCAAACTAAAACCACAACAATATTTTTCTAATGGAGGGAATAATATCTAAAAATTTCATGTGAAAAGATTCTTTGTCCATCGTAATGACAGTACTGACATGAATGACATAAAATGAAGATTATTTACTTCATGACCATACAATATGACATTTTCATAACCAAGGCATGGTGTTGTTATCCTTAAGTTGTAGAAAATATTTTCATAATCACCTACGTAGGCAATTCAATTCCAAGGTCAAGCTACGTATTTGTATTAGCACAGTCACCAAACCTAGGTGGATTTATTAGCAGAATAATTTATCTAGATCAAAATATTGCCTATACAGGGCTCAACACATGTAACATAGCTAGTTACTTAACACATCTACAGAAACCCTGGCCTTCCCCAAAAATAGACAAAAGGACTGACCAGACCACACCTAGGATTTTACAAAAAAATTAAAGGAGATAGATGACTAATGTCTTCTTTGTTGACATCGCCGACGACCACAGGCTCGGGCACAGGAGGCGTCACCCGCGGCAGAGGAGACACCTGCTCTGTCTGAGGAGCCAGAGCAGCTACCTGGTCCCACATAAATAGCAGAATATTTTATATAGATCAAAAAATGTCATATACATGCCTAAACTAATGCAACATAGCAACACAGCTTCGGATCCAGGATTTCAAAGTTGGGTGTTCAAAAATTTATATTGCAAACCAAAACCACATCAATATTTTTCAAACGGCTGAGATCAAGTTGGCTTTTGAGTCCATAAGGAATTCTTCTGCCTCTGCTTCTGTTACTCAAGAAATTAAAGAGTTAGGAGTAATATCTAAAATGTTCATGTGAAAATATTATTTTTTCCATCATACTGACAGTACAAACATGAATGACAGAAAATGAAGATTATTTAGTATGACATTTTCATAACAAGGCATGGTGTTGTTATCCTTTACTTGCAGAAAATATTATGCTGAAAATAAGCAACCAAATATTATATTTCAAGTAGGGATGATAACAAGTCTAAAATATTACATCCTATGGTAATTGGACTCCAGGAATCAAGCAATTGGTGTTGAGCAAATTGAACGACAAAAAATGTGTCTGCTGGATTAAGCGTGAGAGACTAGTTTTATACAAATAGACATGAAGTTTAGTGCAAAAACTACACCAATTTTAGTCCATTTAGCAATAAAAGAACCATATATAAGAAATTTCGGGCAAATTTTTTTGGGTGGTTGGTAGATCTATCTTAAAATTTGGCATCAACACATTTTGGATGCACGAGAGCCATGGATCAGAGTGGTTGGTAGATCTTAAAAATAAGATAACCTATACAATGAGGAGCCGACCCCCACACCCATGCACCCATGTGGATCCGCCTTGAAACCTACCGGATCTAACGAATCTAGGTACGGATTTCATAGATGGAAGAAAAGCAGAAACCCTAGCCATGCCCAAAAATAGATAAGGGACTGAACAAGGAAACCTAGGATATTTCCAGAAATAGGACTGACCTCTTCGTCGTCGTCACCGTCGACGTTGACCACGGGCTGCGGCAGAGGAGGCAGATGGTGTGGCAGAGGAGGCAGATGGTGTGGCAGAGGAGGCAGATGGCATGGAAGAGGAGTCACCTGCTCCGGCGGAGGAGCCACCTGCTCCAGCATAGGTGACACCTGCACCGGAGCCTGGACGTGGTCGACGACGTCAAGGCCGCCCTTCTGCCGGCTGGACCCCTCGCCGGCGGGGAGGGGTTTCTCCATGTGCAGCTTTGCATAGTGCTTGGATGCTTCGTGCGCCGTGGCGTCGGCCCCGGCGTCGGCCCTCCCTCCCATGGTGCGCTTGGGCATCTCGACGGCGAAGGTGCAGCGGCGGGAAGGGAGCAGCGGTGGGATGGGCAGGCGAGTGGGGAGGCGTGGGAGGAGAAAACCCTCCTATTTATGGATGGGGAAGAGGACGGGAAGAGGGGGGCGGCGATGGGATAAATGCTAATGGGGAAGCGGAGCATGCTATGGGGAAGCGGAGCCGCCCATTTAGTCATGGGCAGTCAAAAGGAGTTATTGCCATGTTCACACCTCCCCGTGCGTTGTTCACACCACCACGTCTTGCCACGTCAAAACATAACTTCTCACTAAAATGAATAGCCCGATCGTGCACAGCCATGATTTAGGAGTAATGCAACTTCCCTTCAAAAAATTGTGTAATGCAACTGCTCCCTCATTACACAGAACAAATTCATACGGTGGGACAACTGAATTTGTAGGCTTGTTTCATCTGCACGTGTCATGTTTTATATTTGTCCTAAACTATGTTGAAAAACTTTACAAACAATGGAATGGCAAATGGATGTGACAAAACATCGTCAGCAACCGCGCATATTCGTCTGCCATATATCCGATGTCCGGTACCGAGGAGGGGAATGTTGATCCACGCGATGCCATGTGTTTCGTGTGGACCCATATCATGCACCCCGAGCCAACTGGGCCAAAACATGCGCCACTAGCCTTCTCGATCCAAACAACGAGCTAGTGTCCACCATGTGCAAAGATGCTCATGTGGTCAGGTTTGCTATCACTAGTGAATGACATCGGATCTCGGTGTGCAATTTGCGTAGCCGCGTGTCTCTTTGGCATGCCTGGCATACCAACGGGAGGGACTTATCGAAGGTCCAATGAACCGCGGTGGGGTCAATGCTAGATGTATGGTGTGGGTCAACCTGTCTAACGGTGCATGGTTTGAGTTTAGGTGGCTAGGTTTGCATGGCTGGGGGGCTAGATGGCTAATGAGTGCGCATGCGTCATCTGTACATTGTCAAGGTTGAATGGTGGTTGTCTATGTGGCCATGCGTGCATGCATGGTGTGGGTCCAGTTTGTGTGTGGCGCACGAGATGTGCCTTGGTGGGTAGGGCCCACAACTTGCGGCACAGAGTTTGGAAGCAGATGAAGGGTCGGGCCCCGGTCTTCGTCCACAAGCAGGACTTGTTCCCTCTTGATGGCTAGCTCCGGGATGCATTTTGGTCTCGTTTACACACAACCTATGTGAAGGCTTATGTGTGCCGCTCTTGATGTTCGACCATACCCACACCGCGGAAGGTCCCAAGAAATTTGGATCCCTCATGAATTTGCACGAATTATAGCAGCGACAAACGAGACCCAGCATTTTTTGCCCTTAACAATGGCTCTGAGGTGGCCCTTCCCATTGGTCGCACATGGCACATATATAGACCAGAGCTTAGCATGGAACTGTACCCCCAATCCCTGCTGTGATTTCATGTGGCCGCGGTATAGATCCTGAATTTCCGAGGATACTACCCTAGAAATGCGGCAAATGTCCCGAATATGGCACGCACGGGCTCCGAGAAAGGCCGGGACCTTGCATGCGCTTTAGGATTGTTCTCCGTTTACCCAAGAGAAAGCATCAATGAAAATGGAGGAACGGGCCCGCATTCATTGCGCAAACCGGATGTGTTACCTTGAGGTAGCTAGATCCAAACTGAGGGAGTCCCGGATTTGGGGGTGTCCGGATAGCCGAACTATCACCTTCGGCCGGACTCCTGGACTACGAAGATACAAGATTGAAGACTTCGTCCTATGTCTGGATGGGACTTTCCTTGGCGTGGAAGGCAAGCTTGGCGATACGGATATGTAGATCTCCTACCATTGTAACCGACTCTGTGTAACCCTAGCCCTCTTCGGTGCCTATATAAACCGGAGGGTTTTAGTCCATAGGACGAACAACAATCATACCATAGGCTAGCTTCTAGGGTTTAGCCTCTCTCATCTCATGGTAGATCTACTCTTGTACTACCCATATCATCAATATCAAATCAAGCAGGAGTAGGGTTTTACCTCCATCGAGAGGGCCCGAACCTGGGTAAAAACATCGTGTCCCTTGTCTCCTATTACCATCCGCCTAGACGCACAGTTCGGGACCCCCTACCCGAGATCCGCCTGTTTTGACACTGACATTGGTGCTTTCATTGAGAGTTCCTCTATGCCGTCGCCATCAGGAAGGATGCCGCATCCTGTCTTTAAAGACGTCACTGTTGCTAAAGGTGCTTTGGCTATCGGCCAAACTCTCCGGCTAGGCGGTTTCCTTATGACCGCCTGTCCAGCCGACGATGACTTCTCGGGTCATCGAAAGCAATCTTCACGTTAGCTCGGACCTCGCCGAGCAGTTAGATCCGATGGAGCTCTCTTCCTTAAACTAGCTCTTGGGTCGCATCGCCGCCCTGGGAGTCGCTACAAACTATGATCGGATTGAGCCTAAACCCGATCTGAGAGAGATTAACTCTCTCCAGGTTACCCTTCTTCTGTCTTAAGGACTAGCTATGTCCAGATTCCCGATCCCTCCAGGCCGGATTCTCGCGGAGGGGAGGATGTTACTCAAGCCCTGAACCTAAAGTTAGGCAGCGGGCTAGATTTATTGGACAACATCCAAGAACCCAAGCTTCCAAGTTCGGAAACTACTTGGCCCCTGAGTCTTAAAGTGGACGGGGTTCCGAATTTAATTCCACCCGCCCACCCAAATATAGGCGATCTATCCCAAATCCGGCAAGAGCCCGCAGAAACAGTACACCATTACTGGGCCAGATTCCTCCTGGTTATGAATAGGATAAAGGACTGCCGCGAGGAGGACGCAATTTCATTCTTCTGCAATAATTGCACGGACAAGGGAATCCTAAACGCCGTAAGTCGTCGTGAAATTACACGCTTCGCTGACTTGGCGTCCATAGTGCGGAAGTACTGTGTGATGGAAAGCGCCTGGAAAACCGAAATCAAATTTTGGGACAATCCGGCCCTGAATACAACCCCGGTCCAAAATAAAAGGGTGCATTATCGCCAGTCACCTGGGTTAAACACCAAAAAGCAAAAAACCTTCTATAGGGCATGGAACCGTACTGGAAGGATGGCTCAATGGACCCTGCAAAATTCATAGTACAGAGGGTGCCACTCCAACTCATAGCCTTAGAGCATGTTGGATACTACGGCAGGTGGCCAAAAATGGCGAAGAGCTTCTAACTCCAGAGCACCAGCCCAAGGATACCAGTACGGTATTAACAGTCTTCGAGACTTTCGCATCAAATAATATGTGGAAACGAACACTCCGCAGCCTTGCCAAAGTCTACCAAGTAGCAACAATAAACCCATGGAGTGACACGGCTATTACCTTTAATGCTAGTGACGAACCTAAATTCCGAACAGCCCGAGCACCAGCCGCATTGGTCCTCAGTCCAATAGAAGACGGCTTTCGCCTTACCAAGGTACTCATGGACGGTGGCGGCGGATTGAACCTCATTTACAAGGAAACCCTCTGAAAAATGGAAATAGACTGGAGCCGCATTGAGCGAAGCAGCACAACCTTTAGAGGAATAATCCCCAGTCGGGAAGCATGCTGTACTAGAAAAATCACACTGGATGTGGTGTTCGGCACGCTGGATAATTACAGGTCCGAAGAGGTCACATTCCAAGTGGCCCCGTTCAGCAGCGGATATCACGCCCTATTAGGGTGAGAGGCATTCACAATTTTCCAAGCTATACCCCATTACGGGTACATGAAGCTCAAAATGCCCAGGCCCAACGGAATCATCACTCTTGCTAGTGACCCGGACACAGCACTCCGCGCCGAAAACGAGACAGCCGCACTTGCCCTTGAGGCACTATCCGAAGCCCTAGCAGCCGAGGAACTCTCTGCCCTGCGCTCCATGGTGAATAGGGACGATGTGATACTCGACAAGAGATCCAAGTCCACCTCCTTTAAACCGGCAGACGAGATAGTCAAATTCCAAGTCCATCCAACGGACCCTACAAAAACGGCCTCCATCGGGGCACAATTAAACCCTGATGTAGACGCCGCACTACGAGAATTCCTACGTGAAAATTGGGACATTTTTGCCTGGCACCCTTCAGACATGCCAGGAATCCCACGCCGGCTGGCCGAGCATAGCCTAAACATCCTAAAAGGATTCAAGCCAGTCAAACAAGCCCTTTAGCGTTTCTCCGAACCGAAGAGACAGGCCATGGGAGAGGAGCTAGCCAAACTATTGGAGGCCAGATTCATCAGAGATATTAAACATCCGGACTGGCTAGCAAACCTAGTGATGGTACCAAAGAAGGACAAATCCTGGTGCCTATGCATTGATTTCAAGGACCTCAACAAGGCTTGCCCAAAGGATCCCTTCCCCCTCCCCCGCATCGATCAAATTATTGACGCTAACGCAGGACACGATTCATTGTGTTTCCCCGACGCATACTCCGGCTACCACCAAAATAAGATGGCAGAGCCCGACCAGGCCGCAACGGCATTCATCACCCCATACGGCCCATTCTGCTTCAACACAATGCCCTTTGGGCTCAAAAACGCTGGCGCGACATATCAGCGCATGATTCAGACATGTCTGGCAAACCAGATCGGCAAAATAGTGGAGGCATACGTAGACGATGTGGTCGTCAAAACCAAGCATGTCGAAACTCTAGTAGACGATTTGAGGCTCACGTTCGATAATCTTCGAACATATGACATTAAGCTTAACCTCGAAAATTGTGTTTTTGGCGTACCAGCCGGAAAGCTCTTGGGCTTCATTGTATCCGGTAGAGGAATTGAAGCAAACCCACCCAAGATCCGAGCTCTGTCACAATTGGATATCCCAAAGGACCTCAAACAAATACAAAAATTGACGGGATGTGTGGCGGCTTTAAGCCGCTTTATCTCCCGTTTAGGAGAATAGGCATTACCCCTTTATCGCCTCCTCCGACGCACCGAACACTTCGAGTGGACGGATGCCGCCACGGCCGGACTCGAAGAAATAAAAGCCATATTGGCAACAAACCCGGTCCTGGCCGCACCAAC